TAACCACCTGGCCATGCCGGGCGCAAGCGAGAGTATAAAAGAAATAATACTGTTGCGTTAAATCAAGTATATCTTACTAACATAAGATTATTGAAACCCATCTGTAAAATAAAACATTTGTTGTACAAAAAGTGTTTTTGGAATGCATATACAAAACAAATGTCGAGAAAAATGCAAAACAACGTCGCACTAAACAAATTATTTTACATATAAAAACTGATAAGTAAATAAATACCAAGGGTTAATCCCACTTTATAAGAACCATGTTCCAGGTCCAGTGCTGCAACTATTTCTTCCATCATTGACTGTGCTCAGTCTGATGGTCATGATTACGCATACTGCCCAACACCAAAATTCCCATAGTAACAAACTTCTGCAAATGTCGATGAGGTTAATCTTAATCCATACATCTCGATAATCTTTCCGGAGACTCTTCACTGTACGCATATCTAGACTTCCAAAACCACATTTACGCAAACCAAAAGTCTATCGGATATACTATACATCGTAGAACAGGTTTGATTAAATACGACTTCAGGTTGTTTGGCTATTTTTCTTATACAAACAACTGTTGATTTCAAGGTATAGCTGGAACATTGTAAGCTTTGGTCTACTTTGAATATTTATTATTTTGTTGATAGCACGAGGAAATTTGCACAGCTTCATCGCAATGTTATTTTGGGCCGAAAGGTTCTATCTCAAAACCACAGTCTTCACTCCGAAGATGAGGATGTTGCTCATGATTGGCTTAGGGTGAAATTTTACTACCCACCGTTGTCTAATAGTTCTGCTTGACAAGTTTTTTTCGTCTTCATTAAAATTCATTTCTTTGATCTTTTTTTTTTTTTTGTCTTGGCTCTACGTCTTTTAACGATCTCGCTATTCAAATACCCTTCCTCTGAAATGGCCACGGCATATTGTTTCAGCCATAAGTCTCAACTGTTCCATCACTATACTGTCAGATATTTGTTCTAATCCACATGCACTGGTTCTAAACATGTCATGCCGTTGCATTAATATATGCAAATCGTTTTGTAAGGTGGGATTAACACTCTCTAAACATGACGAGTTTTAGTTCATTTTAATTTGTAACGTCTTTCAAACTATACCAACAATTATGAAAAAAAAAAAAACAACAACAACAAAGAAGCATTAAATATATACTCACCTGGTCACATATCATGTCCCATTTCTTCTCGTCGTCATATTGTTTTAAAACCTTGGCTTTGTCGGGTGGTAAATCCATGGACACCTGCAATAAGAGATATATCAAATTTAGCAAAAAATGTAACGTTACAAACTAATACATTCAAACAATTTATCATGATTCTACCCTATTTCTGAAGAAGCTGGAATGGATTTAAAAACATACGTTTTAGCATGGAGTAGTAGAAGAAAAATCAAATACAGGAATGAAATATTTTATGACATGTTAATGATTAGGTTAGCTGAGCATGCTAAGAGACAGTATTTCAATATAAGCAAGCCCACTGTTGACGAAATGACCTGTTTAAAAACTTAAATATCAGTTATTCAAAAAAAAATTACTTTTTGGTTGTTTAAAATATGAAAAATTAATACGTGTTTACGATGTGGTTTCCTTTCACGTTTCATAAACTTGTCACAATCTTGGGCCTGCGTAATTTCGCCATATTGTAATTAACATGTGTATACGTTAAAAATTACGTTTCGATGTGTTACTATATAGGTCATGGAAACTTGTATATTAGTTACACACCGATGGTCTGCTTAGTGCTGGAAGGCTTTATTGCAGAGGTAATAAATTAGAAAGCTAGGTCACATGGTCAATATATGCAGACCGTTGTCATGTTTAATCTCATCCTTTGAAAAGGCTTCCCATTACATATGGTACATTAAGACTACAGATCCTAACTGTCTCTGAAACAAACCTACAGTATTTGTTAGTTGGCTTTGTGCTCATTTTTAGTTAGGCTCCTTTCGATAGACATTCTAAAGATCGTTTTTCCAACTTTCTCACTGTAGAGCAGTGGCGTGGAATGCCTATGGGAGTTGAGAGACACTGGCTTAGCCCCACCAAACCCCAATTCCATCCCCAACAAAAAAATGCTTTAACATTTATTACTAATTAATTACATTTAAGCATTTTTCACTCAAGTTGGCATTAAACAAAATTTTAGTTTCTTGACTTATCTAAGATATGAGGTTACAAAAAGGGATGAAGAAAGCTTCTTATACATGTATGTGTTCGTCAAATGTATCTGTTTATTATTTTCTCCATTTGCTCTCACATAAATTTCCATCCAACCAAATCATTCTACCCCTGAGTCATTACTTCTCTAAACAAAGCAGGAACACTACAAGTTTCAAGTTGTTTTTACTGGCCTCGGTTCCCTTATAGTTTAATTATTCACGGATTGTCTGATAGAACTATATGCGAAATGCAGATAACTTAAAAGGTTTCATTTAACGTGATGTAATAAATTATCAATATGCAGAAAACACCAACTGGCTAACGTTAAGAAATATTCAAAAGGAGGCCTATAGTGTTTTGATGGGATTTTAACATCTTCAAGTTTTAATCACGTTACTTACGTATATCATCCTGTCTTCCATTAATTAGAGCCAAACATTACCCACTTGGAGAGAGTTTCGTCATGTTAAAACTAGCTCTCGGGGCATAACGAGGACATTTTACAAAGCGCGCATATATATATATATATATATATATATATACATATACATATACACACACACACGCGCGCGCACACACAATTTCCTGTATAATTCTAACCTAAAAATACTCTCATCGACTCGATCAAACAAATCTTGACTGCAAGGTAAGAATTATTCTACATAAAGATATATATAGTTTTAATTTACAGCCTTTCAGGGATAGAAATTAATGATTATATATATCGTAAAATGCGAGGCACATGATTACATACGTCAGTCGATCAAAAGATCATATTACTCGAAATTACAGGCTACCTGAATGACAACTTGCGAAATCGATGCTACACATGGTTTGTTTGTTTGTTTGTAGTTAAGCACAAAGCTACACAATAGGCTATCTGTGCTGGGCCCACCACGTGTTTAGTGCTATAAGCCCACAGACTTACCGCTGAGCCACTTGGGACTACTGAAAGTGGAATTTTCAACGTAAACAGTAGCAAAAGTCAAGTAAGAGACCCTTAAGGTTCTAGTATAGCTGTTCCTAATTTTGAGCTACTGACCAGTGGAAAGACAGGTAACCAGCAGCACTCACCGCCACAGGGGTATTGCTCGACTCTTTGAACCGAAGAATGACTCACTTTTGTAACGCGCCCGTAAACAGTTGAAAGTACGGAGCGTGATCGCGTTTCGATCCTTGGATCCATTAATCCGCAGCCTGACACGCAAATGAACACTAACCTGCTCCTGTTCTTTTAATTAAAAAAATTTTTTTAAAGTCATGGCCTATAGCGATTTTGTTATTCAGTACAAAGTATACTCTTTTCTTCATCACTTCATTTGGAATACGAATACAAAGAGAAAAAGTTTAAGATAATGACTCATAAATTAAAATATATTTTACTATGAGAGACTACAAGACCTTTAATGTTTTCAATAAGCATGCGTGAGAAATGCGTCATATAATGTCAGTTTAGCTTAAGTACACACGCGTGTGCACTGATATATCACCCACGAATACCAACACGATACACAGCTGTGAATTACTTTAAATATCATAGCTGCAGTAATCTATTCCTAGGAAATACATTGTAAAAATTTGCCTATTTCTATGACACCATTCTAACTCTTTTCTACATATTAATGTATGACAATATTAAACACATGGATATAGATATAAAATACTACGCTGATCAATAAAGATCAAATCATAGTACAAAGTCAATAACTTCGGTATAACAAAAACAAACACTTATCATACATACATACATACACACATACATATATATATATATATATATATAGAGAGAGAGAGAGAGAGAGCATTGTCACGTGCATGTTACATGCTATGAGAAACAGCCTACTCGGGTGTATTTGTATATATACAGGGTAAGTACTGCCACATTTTATTAATTAATCAGTTATCTCTTAAGAAAATATTTGTGGTTGAAAAAATAATTCACGGGAATAGTTTCTGGGCTGTTTTGTATAAAGTTTTTCCTACAGGAAAAGAAACCCATCTCATTTTAAATAATCATGCGAAAAGGTTAAAACTGCTTGCTGTAAATTTAGAAAGAAAGAAAATCTGGACACCTTTGAACACTACATTTTAATTAATTTGCTGTGTTACATTATACATTTAATTAATCTCAAAATTCATTAAGCCTTGGTGGTATTAAAACACAGTAACAATGATATGAAACGAAAAGTAAAGTCGAGTTGGCACGTTGTCTTCAAAAGTTAAAAGCTATGTTAGTGGCATTAGTTAATAATACAATTAATTAAGTCAAACGTTAAATTAAGCCAGAATTTCTTTCAAGAAAAATAAATAAATAAAACAAGCGGTTGGGTGCTTATCCCAAGACGCACGAATATTGTATTTTTTTTTTATAGCCGCGGCATATCGGCTAATAGAATGGCTCCGGGTTTTTTCCCAAGTACAAACTTTTAGCTCATACTTCCATCATCTCTTAACCGGTTTGAGTTCTAATTACTATTTTGGACTCAGGATGTCAAACCCTTTCGATTGATGTATTTGGCAAGATTAATTTACACTAATCCTGCCTAAAAAAATTTCAAGTGCCGCAGCTATTGAGGATTCCTTCTTGTTTTCAAATAATACAATTTTAGTAGTTATTTCCTATTATGTCGGATCCCTTATCTACAAATCTCTCTTGATGCTTAAAGCTAAAAACTGTGTACTTAGTTTTCATTAACATTTTATGAGTACAAAAGAACAATTTTTATATTACTTATTAGTTAACTGCTTCATTCGTATCAAACGCGCATTTCTAGGAAATTCTAAAAACTACTTAAGATGTTTGTTTACTTGTTTTTAAACGCAAAACGACGCAACAGACAATCTGTGGTGTGCTCATAACGGGTATTGAACTCAGATTTTTAGCTTTATAAAACCCTCAAGCTTACCGCTAAGTCATATCTATGTATTGTCAGCATTGATTTCGTTATATAAAATCTGTAAAATACTCATCACTTTACTGCTGCTCCTATAACCACACATACTATAAGTTACGTAAAGAAATGCTGGTATGTTGAGGAGGCCTAATTTTGAAAGGTCGTGCTCTGTAGGGCATAATTGTGTGGGTTTAGATCAATTTAACATAAGAAATACTTATGGTGAGTGAAAATTTTACTGCAAGCTTCCTTTGTTTGTGGAAACACTTATCTTACCACTTGTTCTGAAGTGCACAAGTGCTGTTGTACAGATTCTACATTCAGCGCACTGGACGCCAAACCTGTTGGAGTACTATAGTTACCGGATCTGTCAGCCAGAGAAATATGATTTTTGACTTTGAACGTATTAGATACATAAACAACAAATATACGTAGCAAAACGCCTATTTATGGTAAAAGAAGCACATGTTTAAAGTGTTTTAACTTCAATCTGAGGCACTTTACAATAATATAGCCTGTTCATTAGAACACTGATATTTTACATATTTTCTTGAGGGGATGAGAAGAGGAAATACAACCTTTTAAATCTGATGAAGTTATAAGGTCAAGTCAGAGTGGAATGCATATGCAAACCTTACGAGTATTTTACCGTCAAAATATATTTTAGGACACGATATATCACTCAAGCATTCTCTGCAGTAAATACATCTTGATTTTTCAACCATAACATATAATCTGCTTTAAACTAAAAGTTTTCATATTTCACTTTTAAGATTTTGCAAAAAACAAAAACCCGGTATCAATTCAAAAGCTGACATTTATCAAGCCTTATGAATAGACGTTTATTCTTTCAAAATATTTAATAATGATATCTTTTAGTGCTTTTTTCTTATGCTTTCTTTAAAAAATATTTTAGAAGTACCCAATTTTTGTTCCCAAGTGGATTATGAAAGTGCACAATTGTAGTATATATATAAAACACTTAAAATTTCGTCTAAATAATTGCTTAGTTTGATCTCAAGCGACTGACATAATTACAGCCCAGTAGCTTAAAACATGCATTACCACATCGTAAATGTGTTGACTACAATGTACGTGAGATCCCCAAAC